CGGAGCAACCCTATCTGGGCCGATGTCGCGATTTACTAGGGATATTCAAATGGCTTTTACGGTGCTCGTACTTGTACCGGTACTCGAGATACATACGGTACGGTACCCCTCTCTTGGAAAGAGAGACCCTAGTAATTTCCTCTACTCGTATTGGCTTTTCGTCTTTCGCTTGCATACACAGAATCCCACCCCCTGTCTGTATTTTTTTTTTGGGGGGGGGGCGGCTTTACCCACCATGTGCCAGTACCGTACGGTATGGCGCTCGGTGCGAGCACAACCACGAGCCCGCATGTCGGTATGACATGTACTCCAGTACACCAGAGCCAAACAAAGGGACAGAAGCTGTACGGTGCCGCACGTAGCAATGGGGGGGGGGCCGGATACTCGAGGTGTACAGATTGGGTAAGGCAGATATATATATCATACAGTAAAGATCTGGTATCGTGTGGTAAAAAAAGCAAAGGAACCCAATCCCATTTGGGGTTATGCAGGCAAAATAAAAATAAATAAAAAAAAACAAGTGACCCAGTGAGCGACCAGAACATCACTCCCACCGAGAAAGAATAAACAGGAATTGAAAAACATTGTTTACGAGCCTACCTCCCTCTATGGTCGCCCCATCCCCGTATTCAAGCATACATCATTTTTTTTCCCAATCCTCGGAAGAGGAAGTGGGGGAAAAAAATAACACCTTCATGCTCTACCCGCCAGCCTTATACAATTCAACCTTCCTTCCCAATTGGTGCTACAAGTATTACCGATGCGACTGCCCCTCAACCCTCGAGCCTGACCAAGTAAGGTCACAGAGGGGCAAGGCTCTCCTCCTGGTTTTCCCTTCTTCCTCTTCCTCCCAACAACCGCCAGCAGCAGTATCAATTCGCCGCCGAAGCGTGTACCGGAGGATAAATGGGCTCCTCATCCCCCGCATAGTAGAACCAAGCTCTCGAGGCAATTGTATGGATATGATGGGGCAGGTACAAGGACGCCGCGAGGATCAGCATGGAGAGGAATATGAATAAGAAGGAGTCTATGGGACCAATCGATCAATTATTGTTAGAACTCGGGACGAACCCACGGTGCAGAATTGGGGGGAGGGAGTAAACGTACTGAAGATGATCTTCTCAGTCGGGGTAAGCATATACAGTGAGAAGGTGACCTCATACTGGTACCGCTTCCGCTGGAGAAGTTTGATGAGTGATGAGGAGGACATCGCTTGCTCTGCTCGGTTCGGACCGTTCCTTTGTCTGTATTTAGTGTGTGATGAGTGGATAAGGGTGTAGAATAAGTGAGTGAGATTTGTGGACTACCTGTAGAAACTGTATCCTAAGCTGGAGCTGTAAGGTGTGTGGAGGCGTGGAGGTAGGTAGGTAGGGGTTTTTTTTTCTTTTGTTCTTTTCGGCTAGACTGGATGAAAAAGGGGGGGGCGCGTCAGTTTACTGTGTGACGGGTCAATTGGGTAAAGAAACCCCCAATTACCGGTGGGAGAAAAAAGAAAGCCTTCAGTCGGGTTTGTTTGTAAAACTTCCGTAAGCCTGCGAAAGGGAGCCCAGGGCCCCCGGGGGGAGGGGTTTTCCAGCACTCGATTGCCTAATACCGGTAACGCTCACCGGGGCCGTGTCGAAAGTTCCGCTCTAAAGAATCAGAGACATAGACTACCGTACAGCACTGTGGATTCTCGAGTTTAGTGGCTTGCCAAGTGCTAATCGAGCAGAAAGCTCCGTAAATGGGGGAAGAGAAAAAGGGTTCGCCACCTTCAGGAAATCCACAGTAACACAGGAGGACGGATTCCGGAAACGAAGTTGGCGGGGAAGAGTGAGGTGGAAGGGGCCGGAGCTTTGCAAAGGTGGTGGTAGTGGTGTGTTGCTCCCTTCTCGGGTTCGGGGACGGGTGATGGATGGATGGATGGATGGATGGATGGATGGATGGTTGGTTGGTTGGTCGGTTGGTAAGTTGGGCAGGGAGGAATTCATGCCTCTTGGTTGCCGGCGCGGGAAGGTGAGAGGATCCGCGCCGGATGAAACTTTGTTTTGCTTGGGCGGAGGGAGAAGGGTTGAAGAGTTGGATCGGGATGCGGTAGGGTAACGGGGGGTCGATAACGGTACTGTATAGTACGAGTACTGTACGTGCGGTAGATTGCGCTCGTTGCGCACTGGTGTAAGCCAGCCACTCGGAATATCACATCACACCCGTCCCAAGGCGAGAAGCACCCAAACATTGTTGTAACTGTACTGTAATACCAGAGCACAGCAACCTTGTTTGCGCGCACAGATACACACGGATGATTGGCCATCTTCTTCTGCAAGTATTGTACCTGTACCAGTACCGGTACCGGTATCTTGTCCAATCCCTGTGTTCGGCTACCGTACTCGAGTACGGTACTTGTACCTCTTGCCCGAGTCGAGTTGCTGTACAAGTACGAGACCGTAGTACAAAGATCGTAACGTATATTGGCACACATTATCAGAGGGTTAACCATGACTACAACCCTTTTTACCGATATCACCAGTATCATACTGTACTGGTACCCTTCGAATCACCTCTATTGAGGTCTCCGGCAAACTTCTCTCTTTTCCCCCCTCCTCCATCTCTGCTCCAAGATGTCGTACTGTAAATCCACTCATCCATTGTCCAGTTGACGTTAAGAGCACCTAGACTACCGTAAGCTACTCCAAGCACAAAGCACAGTGGCGAAGCAATCAGTCATCTCACCAAACCCCCCCCCCCCCTCCTTCCCCTCCCCACCACACACACACTCCCCAAACTCGATACCGTATCCAAAAATCCAATCCAACCTGCAGAAGCGTCGACATCGTAAAGGAGAATGAATATACGAAGCCCTCAGGCTTACAATGCGGCTTAACATGGAACCGAAGAGAAACACCTATGTATGCATGTAATATGCACGAATCTTGCAAAGCCGTAACGTAAATCCACTTGCCCCCCTCTCTCTCACATAAAAAAATACCAGGATCTACAATTTCCCAAAGGAGGCTCTTCGGGAGCTCCGTTGTTTTTGCTTTTCCAATATCTCCCTCCCCATTTTGGCCCACATTTCCACGAGGCTTTCCTCCTTGTGAACGTGGTCCATCAGACGCAGGATATCGTGCTACTGTGGCGGGTTTATAGTGGAATTATCATGGGAGGAGGTGGTACCGTACTTGTACTGTTGGTACTACCACCCCTCCATTTAGCATGTGCACTCACTACTGAACTCGTACAGCGCCGCACCGGTACCTGCGAAATATCGCGAGCTTGCCGTAATCGAGTGGAAGTGGCGTCAGGTCAGGAGGCACACGAACAGAAGCACTCCCCCCCCCCCCCCGGTCCTCCCTGCGTTGGTGATGTGATAGGTTGCTGTACTAGTACACCTCTCTCCTCCACTTTTGCTCTTCTAGTGCTGGGACTTTCTGGCGAGGTACTTGTACGAGGGGACCATGACATCCCATGGGTTATTTTTATATACCTCCGCAAGGCTCTGTGCTACCGGGGAGTTTGTTGAAGTACCACGGGGAGGGGGGCAGCTAGCTGCACAGTGAGTCACCATGGGCTTGAGAGGTGGGGGAGCGAGCAGGTGAGCAATTTGATGGAATGGGCTTTTTTCTTCTTCTCTCCCTCTTCTTTCCTTTTTTCCTTCTGGGAGGTAGGGGTGGGAAAGACAGTGCTTTTGTGATACGATTGTGGACAAGGACAAAAACAAATACCGGTACATACGGTGCGGTACCTTTTTCGTGTGCACAAGTGCTCCACTGGTACAAGTGACCTGTTGAAGGGACATGGAACTGATGAGGGGGCGGGGAAGGAAGGGGGAAGTATCGAAGGCGGACAAAGAAAAAGGAAAAGAGAAATAGGTTAAAGATTGTAGGCTGCCCGAAACCTTTGAAAAATATTTGTACCGTATGGCCCCAGTGTTTATAGATTATGGTCATTAGGACCATCATGGCCATAGCTTCGTTGTCCCTCTTCCCCTGATGACTCCTTCTGAAACAACGCAATTCACTCCATGTAGAAGGGGAAAACGGAAGAGTCAGGGAGAGGAGATCCGGGCTCTTTTGTCAAAAACACTTGTTCATCTAGCATTGCTCCGTAGATGGAATGATGGAGGGGTAGAGTTGAAATAAGGTAGGAGGTTTGGGGGAGGGGGAGGAGGGGTGGAGAGCTGTCGGACTGATGTGGTACTGATTCGCACTATCGATGAACAGCGAATTGGTTTATACCCTTTTCCTGGAATGATCAAGATAGTGGTGATTGGACAGCTAGACAAGAGACATGCATACATACCTTTGTCGTGTTTCCCCTTTGTAACGAAGAGCGTCTGGCAGGAGCACCTGACGACTTCCTGCCCACAATATTATAAGACCGATCCAAAGATATCATATGAAGCCCATACATATACATACACACTGTACCGCTTGCCTATCGAGCAAAAATCATCCACCCTTTCTCCTCGTCGAGAGGGGGAAAAAACAAAACAGCGATTCGATGGATTGCATTTAATGCTCTATCCAAAACTTCAGCTCGCATGTGACAGCATCGTCATAAAATATTCCCTGAATCCTACTCTATTTGTTTTATTTTATTTTACATCAGCGTAGACCCGACCTACTCGCGATGTAGGCAATTGGAATGGCCAGCAAGCCAGAGTACCGTAAGGGAGGGGAGAGGAGGGGAGGGG